TGGTCTTTGTTTTTTTTTGTTTCTTTTCATTCTGTCGTTCTTTATCCTAAAATAACATAACACATTAATTCATTCTTTTCCTTTCGTCGAGTTGTGTGATGGCATTTGTTTTCAGTAAAAAACCCCACCCCCACCCTTTAAATCCCGCTCGCCCTCCTGACCCCATCCAACAAGTACCACCATCCTTTGCCATATTTACAACTCTTCCTCAACTGATAGTTAGCGTGCTGTGAAAATGTGTTTTTTTTCTGTGCCCCCTACCAGCACCTTGTGTCTCTCTGGGCAGGTTCCCGTCAAATAAATAAGTGAACAGTTTTACTGACAATCAATCATGCGTGACATTCACCCATTTCTTTAACCCTCCCTGTCCTATCCCCCATGCATTTCTCTCCTAACTAGCTCGATTGCAATACCCCGGCCATGTTGAGAACACTTCTTTCTGCCACACCTGCTTTTTACTGCAGGATGTGCGGCTATTTTATCGACTTTTCTGTCCAGTTTTTGTGTTGAGGCCTATTGTGACCAGTTGGCGATTTAAAAAGTTATTGAGGCGGTGGAAGTGTCCAAATGGTAGATGGAAGAGAGATAAAGAGAGAGAGAGAGTGAGTGTGTGTGTGTGTGTGAGAGAGAGAGAGAGAGAGAGAACGCAGGAAGTAGGCAGAGAGAGGGAGCGCTGGACCTTAAAGGCACAGACAGTGATAGGGACGGAAGAACACAGACAGAAATAGAGGAAGAGAAAACGCCGTTATATACAGAGAAAAAGAGCGCACACACACACATATTTTGTAGTATGGATATTAGTGTTATGAATAATCAAGAGTGATCTCCCCTTGTTTAGTTACTCTCCTCATTCTGTTTACTGGGACTATAAAAGGGAAATATACGTGAACCTTATATTCTCATTTTTAATTAAGCTTTCCAAAAGCCTACTCCTGCGTACTTTTGCCATTACAATTAGTTTCTGACTCTGGGATTCACGCTTTTGTTATCATCAGACTAACTGGTTTATTTTTTTTTAATAGATGTATTTATGCTTATTTGTTTTTGATTATTTTTGATTGTGGGAGGAGGAATTCTGTGTTTGTTTGTGATGATACTCTCATACACATAGACACACATATACAGTTGTACGTATTTTAGTTCACACAAACACACTCATATAAACAAGCTGAGGTTAGACGCAGATACACATAAATTCGTTCGAGCGTACATGCATGCATGGTTGGGATCTACACCTAACCTCGGATTAGAAACTATTTATGTACTTTTAATGCATTTAACTGTTTATAGCTATAGCTTAAAATACAAACTTAATAATAGACAAAAATTGCAAATTTGCATATACAACTAGAAAATAACATCTGCAAGTATAGCTATATAAAGAAAAAGGACTTATAATAACATAATTATAGAATATATTGTGTTGGTGCATAATTATCAGGCGTTTTTCCAGGCGAATTATTTGTTAATATTTTTTTTTTCTTTTGTTTACTTTATTTAATAAAAAATATTATTTTATTTTCAGGTTATAAAAATCCGTGTCGATAATCATACGCTTCGGAATAATCATTTTAAAATGTTATTGTTGAATTGTTATGTTTCTTTTTTCATAATAAGTATTGTTTTTAAAAAAAATGGTTATAAAAATCCGTGTCGATAATCATACGCTTCGGAATAATCATTTTAAAATGTTATTGTTGAATTGTTATGTTTCTTTTTTCATAATAAGTATTGTTTAAAAAAAAAAAGGTTATAAAAATCCGTGTCGATAATCATACGCTTCGGAATAATCATTTTAAAATGTTATTGTTGAATTGTTATGTTTCTTTTTTCATAATAAGTATTGTTTAAAAAAAAAAAAAAAAAAAAAAAAAACGCCTGATAATTATGCACCAACCCAGTACAATTATTTTGTTTTGCTAAACAAAATAAAAGTAAGCAGAACATTCTTCTTTTTATATTTATTTTGTTTTGAAGATCTTGAAGGACGTTATTGCACGTTCTACAAACTGATTTGTTTTGGGAATTTCCAGTCTTGATGGTGTTGAATTCCGAAACCTTTTTCACAGAGGATAAGGTTTTTGGTGAGTCTACAAGCCGCTACATTGCTTCTGATAATCCCCTGCATTGTAGATTTTGTCATTAAACCAATCGTTCGCCCATCTCTAAGAGACGAATCTACAATTTTCGAGTTGCGAGACTCTTTTCTCTCTCGAAGAATAAATGTCAAATGCTAGTCGACAGCCAATGAATTGTTATTCTTCCAGTTTCATTTGGTCAAATAACCTTTGTAACTGAATGACAATCCCGTTCCTGTGCCCAGTATAAACATTCGTACTGTCCGCAACAATTATCTTTATACTCTTTCATAAAATGTATTCATCCAGAACAGCTTTTATTTCTTTTCCATTTGGTAGATCTAATGCTTCTCGTTTATCTTCTCTTTTTTCATTCTTCAAAACAAGCACATGATATTCTTCACCATCAATTTGTTTGCCATCAAAATGTAAATTTTCTAAGTGTTTAGTTTTCTTCATTTCTTCTTTTATTTTAGCATCTTTAATAATGAATCTGTAAATAACAAATTGAGAACTTATCTCAACGTCAATCCCTTATTAACTGCTAACAAAGTTTTATGATTGGCTGGTTGATAAGTTTAAAGATGTTACTAATTTGGTTGTAGATTTGGTTTTGTTATACTTTTTTTTCCTGTGGATTGTTCTTCAGAACTTTAGGACTATTTGTCTTCACTCTCTGAAGTCGTTGTCGCTAATATAGTCGAAGTTCGCGCCAAGGTAATTTTTCTTCCTTTGTATGGATAAATAGTTTTGGAACTCGCAGTCTGTCTAGTTGGATATCAAATGTGTCTTTGGCTTTCGATCTGAACCGTATGTCGTCACCATTCAGGGATTCGACATTTTCTTTCGTGGTGTCAAATTTTCATGTTTTCCTTGTTTCACAGATTCCTCGTCGGTGTTCAGATCTTAATCTAGTTTTTTTTTGTATGACTTAAGATGATAAGTTTTGAAAATTTTAATTTTTTGGCCATCAATTTTTTCAGCGTTTTCCTTTTATACGTTCTTTCCTTTTGAAGGAACAGAGAGCGACCAACAATTTACACATACACACACACACACACACACACACACACACACACACACACACACATATATATATATATATATATATATATAAGTCCTGTTTATTTTAGATGCTCTCTCTCTCTCTCTATATATATATATATATATATATATATATATATATACATAATGAGAAGCCACGTATACTTTCTTAATATGTATATATAAAAAAGTTGCAAATTAAAATAAAATAATATTTTTTTATGAAAGTATATATATATATATATATATATATATATATTTCAGATCGACCTCGATCTCTTTCTTCAGAAAACCTCTAAAAAACAGTTATTTCTGAAGAAAGATCGAGGTCGATCTGAAATATCATATATATATATGTAAATAAATAAATACTTTCAAAAAAACATTATTATTATTTTTAATTTTAATTTATATATATATATATATATATATATATATATATATATGTGTGTGTGTGTGTGTGTGTGTGTGTGTGTGTGTGTGTTTAAAAAAATCCCGGTATAATAATAATAATAATATTTGACTGCATGAAGCTCTGAGTCGTGCTACCAGTGAAGTATATATAATTCTAAAAACAACGGTCAACTGCGTAAATGCGAAGCTCATCAGTAAAATGAATGGAGCACTTTGGGTGCTTGGCGTTTGTTTACATTTTAAAACAATACGCTAGATTTAGCTGATTCGTTCTGTCGAGTCAAGCTGGCTCAGTGGTAGAAGCTCTGATTAACAACAAATCGGTTGT